GATTGGTAGGAAGACTTAGAGGAACGCACCTAGTCTAGGATCCATTGTCTGCATGATCATTTCCAAAGTTGATCCGTGGACGTGGTACATTCCTAAATGTTTCGCCGGTATCGTAGTCAGCATCGTCAGTGAGTATCGCCATTCGTAGCACCATACAACAACTCGTCAAAAGAGACAGGTGAAGCCGATCCCTTGACCAAATGTGTGCTAAACAATGGTGGTATCTCGACCTCTGCCCTGGATTATTCGCGTTTCCTGTATCATCCTATCATGGCTTCACTATTACAATTTTTACTGTTTTATGTTTGGTCAAAGGATCGGCTTCACTTGTCTCTTTGAAAAGTTGTTGTGTGGTGCTAAGAACGGCGATACTCACTGACGATGCCGACTACGATGCCGGCGAAACGTTTGGGAATGTACCACGTCCCCGGTTTAACTTTGGAAATGATCATGCAGACAATGGATCCCGCACTAGGTGCGTTCCTCTAAGTCTTCCTACCAATATGACCATGTTGCGAAAACAAGGTCAGACAACCTCTATAAATAAAAAATTGTTTGAAAATTGTTGCATGAGCCAAGTTTGCAGCATCGGAGGGTGAAAAAAAGAAGCGCTAATTTATCAAGGAAATTTGCCTGTGATGATGACTGGCGTAAGAGAACAAGGACTATTTAGCCATTGGCTACTCGTTCACGAACAGAAGAGAGCCAGGATGCGAAGGAATTGATGCAGATTTTAGACCGATTGATGCACCTTTATTGATCTATCCTAAAATATTAACCGTTTGATTATTGATTACTAACCGACATTGCATGTCAGAAAATCATTTCTTGGGCAAATGTTTCGCACGTCCATGCACACGCATCTGCCCATAGATTGCACATCCACACAAGTTCAGCATGGACCACCTTAGTCTGGACATCCTGGTGCCCTCCCGTACCATGGGCTCTCTCTTTCTTTCTCGTTTCTTTCTCGTTTCTCTCTCTCGCCCTCTCTTGCTCTCCCATTTCCTTCTGTCGCTGGCTCAAGCTCTCTCCCACCTGCTCCATTATCCACCCACGTGGGCATCCGGGCGGCTGCAGAAGTGGACGAGCGAATAAATAAATGTGTGCGTATGTGGGCAGAAAGGCACGATCTTGCCAGCTTATGCGTTTCGCTTGCACCCTCTTGTGCCAGACAGATTGGCCACACCGGATTGGCTTAGCTTGGCCTAACTCGGCTTGCTTTGGCTTGGCTTGACTTGACTTGGCTCGGCTTGGCTCGGTTTGGCTACACAAGCATGGGATGTCCGTTGGTTTGCGTCCCCCTTCTTCCAATAGATGGTCCACTCACTTGGCAGGCCGTAGCGAGGTTGGTGTCATCGTGATCCGCCACACAAGCGTAGTGATGCGCAATAATCACAATGCCCAGTCACAAATACAACGGCACCAATAAGCATTTATTAGGTCTAGAACCCAGGAGTGGGCTGGCGGTGACAGGAGGAGAACAGCAAGAGAGATTGACTGTGCTAATGGGGCTGCGATAGAGACCAGCGAGGATAGCATTGGCTGTAGTGATAATATAATTCTCGGTATCAAAACGTAGAGCAGAGGTAGTCTATTATAAAGGTGGTGGTGTAGAAAAAGGTGCTTATCATAACTCTCCTTCTCATTTTGGGCTTGGTGGTGATGTTAGCCGTGATGATACAACTTGATAAGGACAGATCTTACCAACATTGAGCATGGACAGTGGTGTCGTTATCCGGTCTTGAGACACAGTTAATAAGTTAAGAGTGTAGGAATGTATGTAGAAATCTTAATTTCCGCATCGTATGAATTATATAATATTTGAATATATGAAGACCAAGATGTTGTGGCCTCTGTTATGGTCGCAGTCTCCTTTCGATTGATAGAAGT